CATCATTAAGCTTCTTTACAAAAATAAAATTCATGCGAATATTGAAAATATGTTTAACATTTTTCAAGACCAATGTTGTACCATTATTGGTCTTCAAAAACACATCCCCTACACTAATGGCTCTAGCTAAGTTATCATTACTCATTGTACACTCCCGAATTCACCAGGTATGTAAGATGCAGAGTAATTTTTCTAAGATGTAGCATGAATTGTGGCAACATTATCAGTTACCAAATTAGTCTCATGGCATGCAAGATTGACAACATCATAATCATCACATAAAATAAAAAAAGTCATATGTGATAATAACAACTTTATCGATAACATTACCATCAATATATTTTTTTTCCTTGTCTTGTTGTCTCATTTAAACTTTCATCAATGTTTTCTTTTATGCCTTTTAGACCACAATAATGACATTTAACATTGGTAAATCTATTGGACTTACTATTGCTTTTGTCTCTGTTCTTCAAATCTTTGCTTTTATTCCTCAATCTTTTTTTTTTTTATAATAAAGGCCTCTGAATGCGAAGAGAAATCTATGACTTTTTTTTATTCTTTTAATTCAAAACACCATTCTTAGTCAATCTATAATGATTCACTATTTTGGACTGAGTTAAATAACATCATTCTAAATGTCTACCACGAGTTCGATAATGTACCAAAAAGTCATAAGCCCTATATCTCATTTTCAAACTTGAGATTCATGCCAGCTAATTGATTAATAATACCTTGATATATATTTAAGTGATCTGTTATTAGAGTTCCATCTTGATATTTCAAACTTATCAACTATGTAATTAAAAATAATTTATTATTCCTAGTTTTTTGGGCATACAACTTCTTAAGCTTACTCCACAAAGTGTATACATGTGTATTTTCACTAACATGATTCAAAATATTATCATTTACTCACTGTCTAATATAATTACATACTTGTCTGATGAAATAAATTCTAATATACATTTGTTTTATTTTCAGGCTTTTCAATGGCAAACATAGTTAAATAATAATCTTTAGTATAAAACAAGTCTTCCATCTTCCCTTTGCACACTTGATAATTTGAACCATTCAAATTAATTATTCTAATTGTATTGACTTCCATTATTCAACACAAGTCACAAATCAAATAACCTAGCTTTGATACTAGTTGTAGCTCTGGTTCTAGTTACATAAAAAGTCCCCAATTAATTAAATATTCAAGCCAACGAAACTATAATCAAACAATCAATCAAACACAAAAGAGACAATAATTTAATGTGATTTTGCGCAAGTGATCTATGTCCATAAATGAGAAAAAAGTCAATCAATTGTAGAGAATTACGTACACATAAACAAATCAATCTTACTTAAAATTAATACTCACGAACTCTTTCAATCTTTTTGGTCCTATGAGGTACTGTTAACTTAAACAAGCACATATCCTTATGGTTTACCATACTCATGTAAATTCTCTCATTCTCCTCTAGTCCATTCAAACATAAACATCTATAAAAACTTTCTCAATCTTCTTTAATCCTATAAAATGTTTATCCCATAAAACTTTACAACTATTATATTTTTTTTGTACCTAATTTTATAAAAACTCTCACTATTTATAAGCATATAAACTTATTTATAAAGAATCTCTTTTCTCTAAAAATTTTTCTTTTATAAATTTTCTTGTTTATTAAGTAAATATCTAATCTATTTAAAAAAATCTCAAAAAAATCTATTATAAAATTTAAGTCACCATTCTCAATAATGATTTTAATTCATATATAAACCATCTTCATATATATATATATATATATCATCAATTAATTAAATTTAATCATCGATAATCACCTCATCTACATCTTATTCATCCTCGTCAGCTAAAAAGCCAGCTTTTGAATCCCATTTAGCAAATATAATCGACAAAACAAACGGTTGTTTAGCCTTCATTATAACCCCCCCCCCCCCAAAAAAAAAGAGAGATTACACTACAAAAAAAATATGAAAACCAAAAAGAATTTCCTGATTATGATAAGTTTGGTGCACAGCAACGACATGGAAAATTTTTTTTAGCAGCAAAAAAGGGTCTGTTGCAAGTGCTGCCAAAGGTGTGAAAGCCGAAAGGTTAAGTTGTGATTTTGATAAGAAATGTTGGTGGTATGCGGTAGGACATCGGCATTGGTTAGGAGTGATCCAGTCAGTCCAACACAAAGCAATATCCTCTTTCATAATTTTTTTAATTATTATTATTAATTTTTTTGTCTTGTTTCTAACCCCACACGTTGCTTTCTTATAAAGGGCTTATAAAGGACCAAGATTATGCTATGGGTCTTTGTCTTAGTTCAACTCCGTCTTCCTTGTCTCATTATATCCCCACAAAATGGTATCCTTTGCCCATTTTTATATACTTCACATGTTCTCTTAGAATTTACCAAATACAAGTGATATATATATATATATATATATAATCTAATTATACTTATTTTTTACTTGATAAAAATTCAAACTTGATTTTTTTTATATAAAAAAATCATAATATGAAAAAAAAATACAAATGTTTAATCTGATTTCAAATTTATTAAATAGATCAACTAAATTAAATTCAAATTTATAAAATTGAAAGACACATGCATTTACATATGAAAAAAATTAAGTGCTTCCGTGCACTTAACATTTGCATGATAATTTAAATAAACTTAATTTTTTTGTGATCATTTAGTAGAAAAAAAATAAAGTATATACATCAAAAAAGAATTTTACTAGTATTTGACTTAAATAATTAGCAGATTCAACCGCTAGAATTATCCTTTTTCACAAGTGTGGGTGATTGATCGATAACATATAATAAGTACTTATCCTTTTTCATATGGAAAAGCAAAGTACCACATTTCTCTGCTCAACAGTTTAGCTTGTTTTCTTTTCTAAGATTTAAAAAATCGGAAAAAAAAAGTCTAATACATATATTTCATAATCGCATATAAAATATAAATTTTTAAAATTTTACTATAATTTATAAAGCTTTTAATAATTTTATTTAAATTTTTAAAATAAAATTTTGAATCCATAATTTTTTCTACAAAATTGATACGCTCGAATATTTGAGCACATCATTTGAATACAATATTTTGATGCATGTAATATTATTTCAAATGATTAATTAATTATTATTTATATAAAAAGTACAGGGTATCTCTTTTTTCTGACTCCATGGAATATCAGTTCCTAAGGAATGGGTTGATTGCTGTTTACATTTAGGTTATTTTGTAGATCTCAATCCTCAAACGCCTGATTGCGGTGGTTTTCCAGGGAAGATGCATATGAAAAAATAAAAATAAAACACCCCCAAAAAGCCATGCCAATGGTGTAATTTATTATTATAAAATAATTATGCTAATTATTGTTATTGGTACATAGGCACGCTCCAAAACCAAGCTGTGGGTCCATGAGGTTATTGCATATGGTTCACGACCAAACCCATTTTCACGTGCGCCACGGGTACGACAGCAGATGCATGACATAAACATCAACTGTGATGATGACCCACGCACATCTATCATTTCTTTTATTTTTCTTAAATTAAATGAAATTGTTAAAAACAAAATTTTATTCACAAACTAATTTTAATATTATTTTTTTAATATTTAATATATTGATAGAGAATAAATTTCATATACCGTAAATAAATAATATGTTGTTACATCATCAATAAACAAATTTAAAAGTTTAAAAATTCTTATATATATTTATAAATTTTGATTGTTTAACTAAGCAAAATTAATTCACAGATTTATATAATTTATTTCTATTTTCTAACGAAGTTAATATAAAATTTATAATCCAAATTATAAAAATTCAAATTTGCTTACAAAATCCTGATAAAAACAAATAAAAAACTTGTATATCGACCTTGAAGCATTTTCAGATTCAAGTCCTTAAAATTTTCATCTAAGATAATTTCTCCAAACTAAAAATAATAAGATTCCATTAATTTTCAGATCCCAAGCAAGTCATCAATCATCGCTTGTTGCAGTATGAAAAAGAACAAGAAGTAGCATTTTTCCTTGACGATCATCAATTAAACAGCCTTGAAAATCATTCCATTATTTGATAGTTTGGCAACTATGAAAAATATCCTTTCAATCGCCATCCAACAACTTGAGACAATCTCTTCAATCCATTTTTGTAGGCTTCAATATCCCAAATAGCAGAGGCCTTTAACCCGTTTTTTTTCGTCCTTCCATTCCACTTTGCAAGATGAGAATTTGGTTTTATGGGTTCTTGTTCAACCACGGCGGCTCCAACAATTCTTTTTTATATTCTTTGACTTTTCCAAGGGAAAAATTATTATTATAAATTTTAGTCAATAATTTTTAAATTAAAATTTATGAATATTTACCTATAAAGATTTTAAAACTGTTAAATTTACTTAATGATGATATGACAACATATTATATTATTCATTAACATATACGAAACCTATACATTGTAACATTAAATATAAACTTTTTTTTTTCCATGGAGAAGCTAAATCAGCCACACATGACATCATGTCGTCACAGAACTCAATCTCTCTCTTTTTCCAATTCTCTATTGCTAAAAGCAGAAAAAGATTTAGATAGAATTTTTTAAGTAAAATTTATAATTTTTTTAAAAAATAATTAATTAAAAAATAAAATTAAAAATTTTTTTATATAGATTGAGTGTATAAAATTTTTAAAAAAATTTAATAAAATTTGATATATTTTTTAAATAAATATTTTTAATAAAAAATATTAATAAATTTTTTATCTTTAAATTAAAATCGATTAAATTTAAATTATAAATAATATTTTTAATAATATTTTTATATTTTATTAATTTATTAATTTAAATTTTTATTCAAACTTTTATTAAATTAATTTTTTAAAAAATTTATAAACTTCTTATATAAAGTTTTTTCGTGATAACTGCAGGTACCGTTATTTGGGAGTACGCAAACCGTTCCGTTACCCACCGCCTTGGGGAAGTTTGGAGTTGAGAGCACCCAAATTATCAACTTCCTTGCTCGTGATATTTGATAAAGCCCACCTTCTTTTTCACGTCACTCTCTTTTCTTCTTTATTTAATTTTGTTTTTCCAATCTCTATCTTTTCTTATTCCTCACCCACGCTATAAATATCACCCATTGCAAGTCCTTCTTCTTCCTATTTTTATGCACTGTCATATTGGATACATATCAAGATTTGAGAGAGATGGGAGATAATAGCAATGTTAATCTGCCTCCAGGATTCAGATTTTATCCCACTGATGAAGAGCTTGTCGTTCATTTCCTCCAACGTAAGGCCGCCCTCTTGCCTTGCCACCCTGATGTCATCCCTGATCTTGACCTGTATCCCTATGATCCCTGGGAACTTGATGGTATATATTAAACTTATTAGTTCCTTTTGTTTTTCTATTAAAGCTATATGGTTGAAATTCACTTGAACGATGTTGATAGGTAAAGCTTTGGGTGAGGGCAACCAGTGGTACTTCTTCAGCAGAAGGACGCAAAACAGGAATACAAGCAATGGGTACTGGAAACCAATGGGAGTAGATGAACCTGTCGTTAATAGCACTAGCAAGAAAGTTGGCATGAAAAAATATTTCGTTTTCTGCATTGGAGAAGCTCCGACTGGTATCAAAACCAATTGGGTAATGCAAGAATATCATCTTTCCGATTGTGATTCTAGCAGCAGTAGGTCATCCAAACGTAGAGGGCGTTCCAAAATAGTTAGTATCCCTTTGCCGTATTACTGACTTTTTTTGGGTATTACCCCATTACTGACTTTGCCTACTCGTTCTTGTTCTCCTCTAGATTTGTTTTCTTTTTCATTATTGACATGTTTTGGATTGTTTGTTTTTTTGGTGATGTTAGGATTATAGCAAATGGGTTGTCTGTCGAGTTTATGAAAGAAATTGTGATGACGATGACAATGGAACAGAACTGTCGTGCTTGGATGAAGTCTTTCTGTCCTTGGATGACCTAGATGAAATAAGCTTGCCAAACAACCAGCTGGGAGGAAGTATTTGAGATCTTTGGGTTCCATTAATATAAAATGACATTTTATGTTTTCTAAGGAAATGGAATTATTGTAGCGAGTACTCTATAGACACATATAGAGTACTTTGATATATATATATATATATATATATTTCTGGATTTTACTCTTAGTACCAAAAGAAAAGCATGGAAAATTCCCCGCTTACATTTCCAAATTATAGCCACTTTGTCTGGGTTAGTGGACCAAACATTCCGCAAGGACAGCCACAAATTGTGCTGCAAAATCTGCAGGGCATTTTACTTTTACATGTGTCGCGATTTGAGGTAAATTACTAATGCGTGCGCACTTTGACACAGTTATATAGTACATATTTTGAGTATTGCTTGGCCACCCTTTTGGTGAGACTGCCCCGTGCACGGATTGTAGGGAGACGTGGAGCCCAAACAGCATTGTAAGGCTTCTGAGCCCATGTCCCGCGATGTATTATTCTTAAATTATAATAAAATATTAAATATAATATTTAAAATTTAAAAATATTTAATATAATATTTGAATTATATATTTATTAAATTAATATTTACCTTTAATATAATTAATTTAAAATGATAATACATAATAAATAAATAATTTTTTGAGTATTATATTAATTATTATATTCATATTTCAAGTATTACGTTAAAATTTTTAAAATTTAAGTAATATATTAAACATATTATTATAATTAGAAGATCATTCTTGACATTTACTCTGGGCAATATTTTCCCAACGCCCTCTTCCTCTTGTTTGTAGCTTTTTTTTAAGGTAAATTCTATCAAGGTGGTTCAATTTTAATTATAATTTAACACAAATTTATTAGTTTTAAAAATGAACAACCCACCCCAAAATGTTTTATCTCTATTAACAGAATTTAAGTAATTGCAAAATTACCCCTCAAATCTAAATTTATTATATTTAAATATTATTATTTTTTATTCTATATATTTATTAGATATATAATAACAAAAATAATTTGTATTTAAACATTACAACCCTTTTTGGATAAAAAAAATTAAAATCTTTAACATGAGCTTATTTATTAATTATAAATGAATTTTAATTTAAAATGAATAAGTTTATCATCATTATATTTTCACAAACATGTAAAATATAAATTTAACATATATATGAGTATTATAATAAATAAAATCCAATTAACAAATATTTAATTATGATTTTTTTAACAAAATCTTTTTATCATATTATATCTTTCATGTTTCTTTTTTTTAATTGTTACAAGCCAAAATAATATTACATGTTGAATATATTTATTTTGTTATATATTTATTTTGTTATATATTTATTTACATATTAGCATATTTATAATTATAAGTTTTATTTTTATATGTTACATCTAAATTTTTTTCTATTATTAATAGATTTGAGAAAAAATTATTATTATAAAATATTATTTTATGTAAATATTTAAAGATATTGATTTTTCATGAATAAAATAATTTTTAAATGAGGTTTTTAACAGAATAATTAATAAATGAGTAATGGAAGGATTTATTTATTATGTGAAATTGAAAATTTTGAGGTATATTATCTATTTTAAACTAATAAATTTGTATTGTATTATGCTTTAAAGAAAAGGATTTTGGTGGAATTTCGTCCCTTTTTTTTTTTTTTGGCTTTTTCCTTTTGACGGATTTGGTAGATGTCCCGTGACTTGTGTCACATCGCGCTAAGGAACAATTTTTTGCACGGGTGGCTGCACAGAGAAGCATTCTGTCAGATATGATGCAAGCAATCGCACGCTTTCGATTCACACTCGAGTTAATACATACATAGGGTGGGCAAAATCACCCGAACCCGTCGGGTTTCGACCCGACCCGACCCCTTAGGGTCGGTTTTTTTTTTTTGAAAATCGAGTATCGGGTCGGGTCGGGTCGGGTAGAGTCAAAAAAATTTCGGGGTCGGGTCGGGTCGGATTTGATTTTATACACTGTCGGGTCGGATCGGGTTCGGGTATTAAAAATAAAAAAATTTTCGGGTCGGGTACGGGTACGGGTATTGTATATTTAAAATCGGGTCGGGTTCGGGGCGAGCAAAAACCCGCCCCGACCCGACCCGTTGCCATCCCTGTACATACACCCTATCAATCTCCACTCCACTCGTAAATTAAGGGCTCATTTGGATTGAACTCAACCTACGCTGAGGTGCTTTTAGAACCAAAAAAGTTGATTGGATGTTCATTTGGATATCATACTCCAATGCGCTTGAGAGCATTTCGACAGTATTGATACCAAAAGTTTGACTGAACCACACGGTCTAGTGGAAATCTTCCAATCACCTAGCGTACTTTGTTTTATTTTTGTAATTATTTGAGTGATAAATAAATTAATACTGTTAAAGTTTTTTTATTTTTTAAGTTTTTTATTTTAAATATTTTTAAATTATTTATTTTTGTTAACTCTTTTTTATTTATTATTTTGTTGTTTTACTTTTTGATTTTTTAATTTAAAGGTTTTTTAAATTGATAGTGTGTTATTATAAGTTAATCAAAATAGATAATTATTCAATAATTATATATAAATTTTAATATAATATTTTTAATTATAATTATTTTATTACATTTCATCTCATTTTCATCGCATTCAAATATATTTTTTATCACTAATTTTAATTTTATAATCACAATGAGTAATTTCACCATCACGTTATTTTTAATCACATATTTCAACTAAATATAAATATAAACACATGCATAACATGATCTTTTACTAATCTTATCTTTCTATAAATATAAGAAACCATAACAATTCAAATTTGTGATATTTAATAATTTTAATATTCAAATTTTAATATTAAAAAATTTTATTTTTATCTAAACTATGATATTTTTCATAAAAAAATTGACTTATCGAATCATATTATCTTTAAAAAAATTAAGATTTAGGGTAGGGATCCACCACAAAATTAACCAACAAGATTAATCCTAAAACTTGTACCAAATATATAGAATATAGATTCACTTCCACTAGTATAAAATTAATAGTTTTACACTTTTTTGACTCCTAGATCAAAATAAAATCGATGGGGAAAATTAAATATATTATTTTGATCTAAATTAGTTATGAATTTAATTTAATCTAAGAATAAAAAAATAATATAAAATTTTTTATTTTTACACTGATGTGAATGGATCTCTCTTTAAACATATATATAAGGATGAATTTTAAAACTATAAATAGTGAATGACATATATATCCTTTATAATCTATAAAATTAACTATTTTATTCTTAATTAAATTTTTTAATAAATTAAAATATTTACTAATTTTTATTTATTTCCTTGCAACATTGAAGTTCTTAATTGCTAAAGTAAACTTTCTTTAATCGATCATTTACTTCTTTAAATTTTTAATAATAACTAATTATATATTTTTTTACTAATATTTATTTATTTTCTTATTAATATTGAAGTTCTCAATTATTAAAATAAACTTTTTTAATTGATAATTTTTATGAAATTATTTTTTGCCATCATATTTGATTATATGGCTTAAAGTTTTAATAACAATTAATTTTATATGCATATTTTTTTAGTTATTTTATTATATATACCGCACATGAATGCAATTATGCAAGATGCCATAAGTTTCTTGCATAATTATATAGTTTGTAGTAATGTATAAAAAGTCATTAATGGGTTTCAATTAAAAAAGCCAAAAATATATAAAAATATATTCCAAAGATAAACAAGATAATCATTTTAAAACACTTAGGCTTTTCTTGATAAGAATGATGAAAAAGGGGGAGAATGAAAAACTCGATAATTTAATAGTTAAACTATAAAATAAGAAAGTAATTATAAATTTTAATTATTAAATTAATAAACTTTTAATATTCAAATAAACAAACGGGGAGATTTACCTTCAAAATGTGGACCTTGAACTCTTAATCATCTTTATCCATGTCTCTGGATAGGGCTATTGATAACAATTGAATGTTTTTTACGATTAAGAGTAAGATTGGCCTATGGGGGAAAAAGGGAAAGCAATATTGTTAGCTTAAAAGAGAAAAAAAAAAAAAAAAATAAAAAAAGTGTAGATGTCAAGGTAGTTGGTAACCCTTCAATTTCATATAAGGATGTTTTGAGAATTTATTATAATATATATGTAGAGGATTAAACTTAAACCTGTGAGGAAACTTTTACGAGACAAAATCATAAAAGGCCTTTCACAAGTTTGAGATTAAGTCTCAATTTATATATTATCATTTGTGAAAACTTGCACTTAACTTATGAGATATTGTCTGCTTTGACCTGAAGATTTCGTGATTTTGTTCCACAAAAACTGCCTCACAAGTTTGGGTTTAAACTTTTACATATATATTATAAGAGATTCTCAAAACATCCCAATGTGAGATTAGGGCATTACAAACTCCTATTAGAGTTTGACATTCCAATCAAGCTTAATATAAAGCATAAAGATCCACTAAATCACATCAAAATTGGACAAGTCTAACACAAAGTACACATAGATCATAGGATCACACTAGGCATTGGGATTCTAAAGGTGGCTCCTACCATGTAGCACTTAGCTCCTGCAATATTTTACAGGTAACTCTCATAGTGTAGCACTTAGCTCCTGTCTGACGGTGACCTGTTCTAATACTATTTGTGGAAACCTACACCCGACTTACAAGATATTATTCGTTTTCACCTAAAGGTTTTATAGTTTTGTCCCATAAAAAGTGCCTCGTAAGTTTGAGATTAAGCCTCTACATATATATCATAGTAGATCTTTAAAGCACCCCGATGTGAGATTGGAGCATTACATTGTTAATACCATATCGAATAACATTTCAATTTTTTATAAAAAAAATGATATATATTGGTATCAATTGTTTCATTATATTATTTTGGATATTTTGTTTAGTACAAATATATCTATAAATATACATAAACTTGTACATTATAATACTATTCATAACCTACAAAATAAATATACAATATTTTCAAAAATCAAATAAATAAATTTAAAAGTATAAGAAATAATATCATAAATTTTTTATGATATTTTTAAACACTT